CAAAATATTATTGCAGATTTTCATTTGACCATTCACAACTGGTTTCATTATACTTTATATTTCATCGTTAGTAACTTGATTTCTTAGCAAAAGTACAGGTTTTAATACAAATTTACAAAATTACAAAAGATTTGTAATTTTTTTTATTTTTTCCTTGTTAAGGTTTGAATTTTTTTTCATAAAATTGAATTGGAAAAACGGCATACAAATCCATAATCTATAATTTTTGTGTCATTTCAAAACTTGAGAAGACAAAAGTAGCATAATCTAGCTAAAAATAGTATATAGAATTTTAATGTCAAAATTTAGCTTCTCGCTAGGATAGCTACGATTTTTTCCTAGCAGCATTTCTGCAAGTCTGGTATGTATTTATCGCTAGAAGGACCGAGAGAGTTTCAGAAGCTCTTTGCGGGGCGGAAGGCAAGACACCCTTCCATTTTTATTGCATTTATTATATGTACGCTATAATTTTGTGTATTTTCTTTTTTATTTAAAACATGAGTTTTATTATAGAAACTAGTCAGACTTTAAGAAAAAATTATTACTGTACGATGAAGCTATCTTTGGTGTGGGTAATAGCGTCGAGTCTATCCGGAAAAGCTTCACATGATGCACAAATGGCTTAAAGTCCCAGAGGCACCCCCTTCGGTTGAGAGAACTCTGAAACTATTCGGATACATTTTGTTTTTGAACGTACATATGTATTTTTGTCTAGAAGAAAATAATGGGCCTTGCGTCAGATATTTACAGCTGATGCGCCATATGTGGCTGTAGGCGCCTCTTTTCCCCTACCCTTTTCTTAATATTACTACTAATAATAATAATAGATTAGCGCTTAAACTTAATATGTTAGTGTTTTACGGAGCTCCTCCTCCGATTGGTCGCGTGCGCCTTGGTGTTGTCACTCATGGCAGAAATACACACAGAGGTTTATCATTGCCTGAAGAGGGGCGACCGGTATTAGAAAAAAAACCTTTTTCTTTTCTTGTTTTTGGTGTTAGTCGGAACCTGGGCCTGAACCTAGGCCCTGCAGAACGGTAGCGGGTTAGCGGTAAACTAACATTTTTTTCCGGCATTTAGGATTTAATACTGCAATCATCAACTGCGTCCGGTGGAGTATAGTCAAAGCCAAAGCGCTGCTCTACACATACTCACACGCATAATAAGAAAGTTAAAGAAGAGCAATATACCCTATTTTCCGTTTAAAATTTCATATTTTTTTTACAAAGTCACCACTCCAGCAGCATACTTTTTCATTCACCTCTCTTGCTATTAGTGATACAGTGTTATCGTAGATACTTCAAAAAAATGTGCACTTGCACCACTACTCTAAATATATATGTATGTACATAGTACTCTCCTATTGCAACCTTAACCACTTCAATACATTCCCTTTGCTATTTAAATATTATTGACAAAGTGTGTGTCGAACATCTGTGACTTTCTCATGTCGAATAACTAGCGATGAAAAGCAAAATTGTGTCGCACGACCGCTCCAAACCCTCAACCAAACGCCAACTTCTCAAAGCTGTTACCATTTTCAGCAATAAATTCCTACGAAAATTCATCAGTTAGCATTTCATGTTTGCATTTGTGTGCATTCGTGCGCGTTTTTTTCGTATCCCTGTCATGAAACCGTGAAATCAGGCAGTAAACAGACTTGTAGACGAACTAGTAGAACCTAACTAGTTCATCAACTGGCATGAACTGATGCGGACGCTAACCAGTTGAGCAATTTCGAAAAAGCAATAATGACAAGGTCAGTGTAAGCATTGCCGATGTGTATTCTTTATACATACATACATATAAAAATTCAAATGAAAGAAATCACAATAAAAAATTAAATCAAATAAAATAAAAAATCCGTGCCCAAGGACTCGAGCCGCAAATACCTAAAATGGCAAGCAGCGCGAACAAAATTAAACACGTATTTCTTTAACTAACCCCGTCAATTTGTATGACGCTACTATTTACTATTTCTAAAAATAGGCGGACTAAGTAGTTGAGCTGAAAAGTTAACTAGCAGTACACTCCTATATACTTGACGTTTTCTGGGTTATTTTCCTTATATTTAATATGGTGATTTTTTCAAATTAAAGTACAGTTCTTTCTCTAAAAAAAAATAAACAGTAGTTTCAAACATTGTAGAAAACTAAAAAAATCAGAAAAATTTTGAAATTTTTTCTTAAATTTTATTTTTTTATTCATATTTTGTAGCGCATTCCATTTTAGTATAATAAAATTTTAATAACATATGTAACTGCGATTGTGACAATCTGTTCCATATAAAAAGTGCGGGCATTCGTCATATGCAAAAAATTGCAGAAGAGTGTTAAAAATTTTTTTCAAAAATCAGCAATAACTTATACATAGCTACGTACTTCAAGGGAGCACTTTACTGTACTAAAATTTATTGGATACAAAACTGTATACTCAAAAAAGTTCTAAAAGTTCAGAGAAAAAAGTTTGATGAAAATTTTATGAATTGTGTATTCTAGTTCACAACTACATAGTAGCTTTTACTGCAGGGATATGAGTACATTAGACACATCCACGCACACATACTATGTATGCCAACACATTTGCGAATGCATAAACAAGTCGTGCATACTTTTAGTGTTCGATAACAATAAAAACCAGTTTATCATTGATTATATTCATTTGTTTTTATTGTACTATACATATGTAGTCGAGTGAAAGCAATGAAGCATTTTATTATCCACTTGGTTGGCATTACATGAGCCACAAGGAAAATCATTTTTCATTTTCGCAATAGGCATAAAAATTCCCTTAGCTCATAAAACCAGAAAATGTAAACTACCTTACACCAAATTGTTCGCAAACGAGAGAAAAAGGTGACGCTATAATTCTCGTGTGTAGACACTAGTACAGTGGTTCATAAAAACACTCTTTTTGGAAATTCATAAACGCTACATCAGAATATTGTTATTTGTGATAAAAAAAAGAGACACGTATTTTTTTTTTTATTTTGAAAATAAAATTTTTTTGAGGTCGCGCTGGTCAGTTTTTTTAAAAACGCTGATGTTCTCAATTCTTTTTATTTTCTTGACGTGTTAAAATGCAGCTAAAAATGTGGTTTTTAGATATAATTACTGCGTTATTATCGGGGAACATACTTTACTCAGTTAGAATTGGCCTAGTGCCCGAAATGTGCTCTCGAAATGAGACTAGTAAAATTAAAACGTTGATACTGATCGATTTACGCGTTGTCATGGGTTGGAACTTGTTATCAGAGGGTTTCTCGGATTGCTAATTAGGAATCTGTAGTCGAATGCAACTCAAAACAGGGGCCTTAAAGTATGTTGTTCAGGACGACGGAATCGATGTCCCAACTCCCGACTATCAAATATGTCTAAAAAACCACAAAGCTGCTAAAGTTGACGGGATGCCGGGTCGCCAATTCTTGTTCTATGAAATGGTGAAGTGAAAATGAAAAATTCAATACCAGTGAAAATTTAATTTGTTCACTTTATCATTTCGTAAAGAAATTCCCGAGCATTAAGGACTTTTCCAATAAGATCTAGCAAGTAATTATTTAGTAAATTATTGTAAGTTTAAGACAATGACATTCTGTCATGTGATGTTATTTTGGAATCAAAACATATTAGAGGTCGCTCAAAGCTCTTAAAGCAGGGATGGAACATTACAGTTATTGTTAAACACTGTCATTGAAAGATTCACTATGAAGCAAATGTTCTATAACTAACTAATACATTTCAATCGATTTCTTTTTTCGCCGGGAATCAAACGTGAAAATAAATCCTTCTTTGTAATTTTTATGCGAAACCAAAACTTTTTTTATGATTTTTATTATATGAATCCAAAATAACAATTGTTTTTCATTTTTATAAATAATCGCAAATAAGAGTATTTTTTTTTTGTTATTTTTATTGAGCTTTGCACCACGATTGTTTATTAGGAAAAATTGAAAAAACAACAAAGTCGAAGCGGTAGAAGTTATAGCAGCTATTTCGGAGATTTCTGAACTAAATTTAGTAGCCGTTAAGAAATCAAATTCAACTTAATCCACCAGGCAATTGAAATAAGTCTCACAATGGACGACACAAGAGATCTACTTTATTCTAAACTATATTTTTGAGGTTTGCCACCTGTTTGAAAAGTCGATTTTAAACCCAAAAGACGAAGACAATGTGAAGACCAGCGGTTGACACCTACCCCCAAGATAATTTATATGGGCCTTTTTAAGTGAAGCCATTCTAAAAGTCATACCTAAGAAAGGGTGAAAAAAATGCTTGCCTACATGGCTTCTAGAAGGTCTCTTTCTATTTATAATTTACGCGAATGTGTAAATTTTATTATTTAGCATTAAAAATGAATTTAAATATGCATTTTAGAATGCAAAACACGTATTTGATAAAACCCGTAAATAAATACATTAAGGAATTATTATTTTTATGAATTAAAGTAGCAGCTCTATAAGAACTCGTCCAAAAGCCCTTCTAAAATACCTCCTGCAAAAGCCATTATCCATACACACACACTCCATAAAAAAGAAAAAGAAAAAAGGAATGTAGAGTGGAATGTCTATTGACTGTCGAGAAGACCTTTAGGAAGAGCTTTTAGTACCTCCAAGAAATGCAACATACCTAGTAAATTTATACAATACTACCGATAGTTTATTTTTATTCAACTATCGATAATTTTTTAGCTCTAAACGATGTTATCATGTTGTTGATGTTTTCCTTAAAATACGCAGAACTGAACCTTTTTCTTTTTTTTTTATAAAATGCATGGCCCTTTATGTGAGTCAATAGCATTTTAAGTGCCTAATTGCGCCATAAATCTGTTTTCTGACTGCAGCGGTTTGATGTATTCATACAGTTTAGCAATTTAAATTAAAGCTTGTAGAAACTGCTGCCGTCACTTTTAGCCATTTAAATAAGCGTGTATGCCTTAAAATCGGAGTAATTTCGCGAAAACTTCAATTCGGTAAACCGATCTTGGAAAAAACCCAAATAATGACTCACAAATCCAAAACAAACTCTTCGCTGTTCCAAACGTTCATGAGTGCCGAATCAAATCAACGTACAAGCGTCCGTATGCCGCAGCAATTGAGTAGCGGGTTTGTTATCGAAATACTGTGCGCACTTTTCAAAGTGTATCAATTTAAAAACGTCATTATTTATGTAAGTGAAAGATTAAATCTGAACACTGAGTGGTCTATGGAATTCTTTGCTGAATTTTTCGCGGCTTTTCCATTGATACCAAATATAATTATGGCCTGCAGTAATGAAACTAATACAATCGCTTCCATCATGAATGTTCTGATCAGTCCTTCACTCAGTTTGGTATTCACGACCGGACCAGATGATGCGGTAATGGCACTGACAGCTGAAAGCATGAAACGCATACGCAAATTGAAAACTATTTTTATACTACTTCCCACCTTGGACTCGGATGCCATTTATGAGTCCACTGACAGTTACATGCACTTTTGGCAGATAATAAATAATACATATACCTGGGTTTGGCATAAGCAGTTTCTCAACACCATTTTGTTAACCATACGCGATCATGTCTATATACTCGATCCATATCCGACTTTGGAAATTATTAACAAAACTGACAATTGGCATACGGAAGACTTCTTTGTCAATTACTACCACAACTTCAAAGGTTATGTATTGGATACTATGATTCGTTACGATCTACCGCGTATATTCGATCGCCGCTATGAGCAGGATAAACTGACATTCAGTGGCACCTCCGCTAAACTATTCACATCCTTTGTGAAATCCATTAATGCCACTTTAATTGATTCCACGGTGCCAAGCTCACCGCATGAACCAGCTGGGATGAGTCAAATGATTGAACTCATCGCAAATAGAACCACCGAATTAAGTCCTCACTCTTTTACAGCACTTTTCGCTGTTGCCCATGTGGGCATGAGCTATCCAATTGGTATCAATGACTGGTGCATTATGGTGCCCTTTTACAATCGCTCGCCAGAACATCTTTACTTACTACGCAGTTTTCAATATTCCACCTGGTTGTTGTTGCTCTTCGCCGTCATCTATATATCCATCACGCTGTGGTTGTGCGCGCCCGAGCGTCCTAGGGAATACAGCAAGGCGCTATTACAGTCGATTTGTTCAATGCTCTACATCGCTCCTGCATCAGCGTTCAACACACGCAACCCGCGTATGTGTTTTCTTTTCTGCTGCCTCTACGTCATCGGTTTTCTCACCTCCAATTGGTATAGCACAAAGATCGCTAGCTACCTCATGACTTCATTACCTTCACCACAGCTCGATACGGTAGACGATGTGATTCGTGCTGATTTACGAATAAAAGTTTTTGACTACGAATACGTACGCCTCGAGCACATGCCGGCGCAATATCCACCGCGATTTCTACAACAACTCGACATCGTTGATAAGTACTTTATGGATCATCATCGCGATAAGCTGAATACCAGTTTTGGTTATAGCATACAATCTGATCGCTGGGAGTTTCTCAAACTGCAACAGCAATTTCTGCGATATCCACTCTTTCGGCGTTCGAGCATTTGTATTGGTCCGTTTCATCATGTCTTTCCTTTGTATATCGATTCACATCTGAGCACACCTCTAAAACATTTCATCATGCGTGCTACGCAATCGGGTTTTCTAAACTATTGGCAAAAATCGGCCTTCGCTGATGCGGTTCGTTTGAAATTGGCTAAAATCATATTGGTACATGAGGATCCGATCCCATTGACTTTGGGGTTTCTTCTGCCAATTTGGTATGTGTGGGGTTTGGGACTCACAATCGCGGTAATGATTTTCATCTGTGAATTGTACATGGCTAGAAGCCGGAGATGAGAATGGACCAATGTGATATAGATTTTTTTTATTTTCCTTTCGGCAACATCGTTTAAGCTGGATGAGAATTTGCTGATCGTATTATCCGGTATTCTTACCTTAAACCATATACTCTTGGTCACCATACCTGTTAGCTCGACTTGCGATTGATTGCATTTTGTACTTTCAATCCCATGTGCTACAGACTAACTTTCAGAGCTTACCTGATAGGATTTTACTATTCAAATTGTCTAGGTTTTTCTTCCCATTCTTCCCGCATACCAAACGATGCTTTACCATTCTTCCTCCTCTTATACTGGCGAGAGGTTGTGATGGTTTAAAGACTGTAAACTAATATATACTTTTAAGCCGTAACATAGTCTTGCAGTCTACCATTTTTGGGCCATGGTAAAGTTGATCAGCTTCGGCTGAACACTTAAATTAATGGTGATTTCGTTTTTACCAAAAAATTTCGCCTTTTGATTGCCGCTGACGCTTTTGGTGTTCGATTCTAAATTATAGGCAAAGGGCGAGAAAATTTTGTGTACGTTTCTTAAAATTTCACACTCTGGTAATGCAAAAAAAGTACATTCTATGCCCTGTGAAGCTTTGTCAGGGGAGATGGTTGCCCTGAAAACCGGATGGTTGTTTAAAACAACAATATTATGAAATGCGTGAGATAGACAAAGACAAGAAGGCAAAAACATGCCTTTTTACAGGGTTGAGTGTAACATCAAATACATTTTGTACCGGGGTGGGGCAACATTTTTTTGGAGAAACGAAATCACCATAAGAAACCGTCAAGCGCTTGTCGAAGACATCGTCATGAGACTTCTTGATTTTTCCATAGAGCGGTATGCGGAAATATGATTTAATCACGGCAAAAAATTCGTTCATCAGTGTGAACGACAGTACTCAGTATACTCCGCAACGACACAACCCGTTCTTATTTGTCATTTATTAACGGAACGGTAAAGTCAGCCTTTTTTGTCGAAGGCATGTTAAATATTTTCAATGACAAGAGCTATATGTGCGTGTCCACAAAGGCTCCCTTTTTCTGGTGTGACCTAAGGCTCGCGGTAGGGTTTCTCGCATTACGAAGAGGCGACGAACGTGAACGCAAAGAGTAGGAATTAAGAATTGTTTAAAAATGCTAACTGTATACGCAGAAGCCCCATTGCCAACATGAGTCCTTACAAGTCACATAAAAGCTGATTTCCTTTTCGTATACTTAGGCACATGAACATCACACTGAGTCTCCCTGGATCGTAAAAATAACTTTTATTGCATCTGACGAAGAAGATTTCGGCGCATACTTATATGATTTTCTTGCGCTAACTGCTCTCTGAATTGAAGGGGGAAATGGAAATTTAAGTTTGTCTTGATGATGTTGTCATTTTAAAGATTCTGAAACCTAATTAGATATCATTTCGTTTTCAACGTCAATTATTAAGTTTGGTTTGCTCTCTTGCGAGGTTTTAAAACTTTTGGCTACTGTCTATAAAGCCGCGCCACAAGAGCTGCATAGAAAGAGTTCTCAATGCGATTCTACTAAACATTGCGGTATTTCCTACAGGTATTCAATACTTAGAAATAAAAAATCTTTGCGGTATTATTTGTAGATCATCGAACAGCCTTTATTTCATTACAAGTTCCAAGTTTTAGTATTTTGAAGAAAAATAGAGACCACTAAGCTAAGCCATATGAGTAAATATGTATTTGAAATCTGTAAAATTTCAATTACATTAACTTTGGTTACTAATCCTTAAAAATGGCGCAATAATTTAAAGCTTCATGGTTTCTTAAAATCAAAACGTTTATTCCATTCTGCTTGATCGTTCAACTTCTCTTCACTGGTTTTCTCTAAAAATATTTCACTCCGGCACGGATTCCGTACTTCTATCAGAAACACACAAAACGCTATGCTCAATCCAACAATCAATAAAATCCAAGCCGCGTAGAAAGTATACAAGTTCAAAGCTCTGATAGGCAGCACATTGTTTACCAGCTTTACATAGCCAGCATTCAAGGCATCATTGAAATCCGAGGTCAGCCAGTAAACATCCAAACCAGCCATTTGTACGTCCAAAATGAAACGCGTTAGAGGTTTTTCCAAATGTGAGTCCAAACGCATGGGAAAGCTTATACATGGACTACCCAAGCAAATTTTCGAAAACCGGTTGATGGGTTTATTGGCATATTGCTCTTGTAAAGAGAGAAAAATCCAGCGCTCCTTGGTAACCGGATAGGCATACGAATTATTGAAATTCAACAGATGCGCCATTTGTACGCTCGAGTTCGCACCTATTATCAGCTTCTGCACCTTAGACGCGAGTTCGGGTGGCAATAGTCCCAACATCATTTTTATCTCATGGAATTTCATTAAGATAGGCAACTGCGCCTCGATCAATGACTCGAAAGTATCCAATTGCTCACCAACGAGTATGGTGGTATAGAAACTGCTGAGCAGATTATTGTACCAGCTGGTTAGTAGAAACCCGAAAAGCGCCAGCTGCAAGTAGATCAGGAAATAACGCAGCGAGGGTTGTTGACTTTGATATGTATGCGGCAGAAAGAACACATGTGCTATGCCCTCGAGAAATGTGCGCGACAGCTTTGTGAGGAGTGGAGCCTCGCTGGGCACACAAGGACTGGTCCACATAAGAGCAATTGCGATAAAGGCCACTGCGGTGCATATGACAAGCCAACTGCCCAATTTGAGTGGACGTAACGGGTATAGACAACGCGGAATCTCATTCTGCACTGGCACAATAAGACAACATTCGAACTTAAAGATCGGATAGCTCATGATGCCTTGTTGCTCACCAATGCTCGTGTAGGGATGCATTGAGATCTCCAGCTCCTGCTTCTCGAGTTTTTGCCTGATGATACTCATATTAACACTGCTCGTAATATCATGTACCGCATTAGGATTGCTGATACGCAGCGTAATATTCATGCGACGGAGGAAGTTCACAAATATGTGATAGGCAAAACCGCGTATGTTCGTTGTGTTTTCTCGCTGATTGTGCACAAAAAAGATGCGTGGCAGATCATTCTCGGCAGGCGTTGAGATTGTGTAGCCCTGCAGATCAGTGGGTGCAGGCGGAAAAATATTTTCGCTCCGATTGTATACACGAAACACTTGCATCCGTGGAAAGGGCGAGTAACGGTAAATGGTGTTGTTGTAGAGCAGTATGGCGTGCAGAAATTGTAGCTGCCAGAGTTTGGCGAAAACCGCCACTGGTTCAAGCTGTGCACTGGTGGTCACCACGATGACTTTTGTTTGTCGTAGTTTACGCAAACGCAGATCAACCACGCGCCAAATGCGATCGGTAGGCGTGTCACATAACACAACGCTCAAGGCATCATTTTTAATATGGTTGCGTAATGTATTACCTGGTGGTTTCGAATGATCATCAGCTGTAAAGATGTAACGCGCAGCCAAGAGACGCCTATCCAAGCTGGCAGCTATAGTGTTAAATAAAGCGCCCTTTTCGTCGTTTCCGCCTATAAAAATCGGTACGTTCGAAATGTTGTGATGACGTAGTGTGCGCAGTAAAACCTCGTCGAAAGTCAGTGTATGCGAGGTTGTGTTTGAGGTGGTGCTGGCGCGAAACAGCAGCGTGTTAAAAAATCCGAGTATCAACGTCGACACCAACATCCTGCAGGACCACTAACGGCAACTAAAAACAGAAATTGGTTTTTATACTGAACTGCTGGATTTTGTGTCCCATTTCCGGTTACATGTCTATCATACATACATATGTATATGTGATTGTTGGAAGCTTATTAATAAAATTAAGTTGATTTGTTGCAATTAAATGTTACCAATCAGCGCTAAACTTATTTAGTAATTTTCATATAGTGGATGCTAATAAAGTTAATTTGTCGTTGGCGAACATTCCTAAAGCCTTTTACTAACTGTCAACACCAATAAGTAGTTTCCGATTTACGTGCCCATACTACGACATCACTTAACTTAACACATGAGACTGCATTTAAATTTGAAATATGTAGTAGAAAGGCGGAAATTTACTTAGTGGCCATGAAAAGCCGTAAGACAACTCATGAAATTGGATGTGTAAACATCATCTTGATTGGCAAAGCATTAGGCGATTCAGTTACACACATAACTAAGTGGGTCAGGTTAGAAATTAAGCATCAATTTCATTTCATTTTGTCGTTGTAGACACGTCGTTTTCGCAACCACTTCGGAAATAGTTCAGAACTCTTTCAGGATCATTTCGTTACTAGCTATGAACTACCGCGAATGACGCCGAACTGGCCCAAAATTAGTCTGGGATGGTTTTGATGAAGTCGTGAACTTGTCCCGAAATGGTCCCGTGCGAGACAATTTGAAACTTTTTATTGCCCCTCATGAGCCCTTGCAGATAGAGATAGAACGAGATCAGCCCCCGAGATTATTAATAAGATCTAGGCTTGTTTCTCTCTGAAAAGAGGGTGAAGTGCGTACTTATGGTAGGTCTTGTGAAGCAGACAGGTCCGCATCATAAGTTCTTGTTTGATTCCATTCAAGTAAGGTAGATTGTGTAAGTTTCACGTACGCTTTTGAACGTCAATAGTCAAGTTAAATAGTTAGGTTCCTAAATACCAAATACCCCACCTTGAAAGAAAATTAAAGATTCTCTAACCAGCCGTTGAGGTGGAGAAGGTAATAACAGCTGCAGAAATGCACCGCTCGGCAAAATTTTTTGCAAGAGCGTGCAATTGCTGACGTATACAGAAGACATCGACATCATTGATAACAAAAATCGCGAAGTCTGTTTTGCCTTCCCCAAGTTGGATAAGGAAGCAAAGTGATTGGGTCTGGTGGTCAACGAGGACGAGACGAAGTATCTTCTATTCCAACAAACAGACAGTTAAAATTTCAAGAAAGTAGAGAATTTCGCAGAATCACTCATACCAACAAGTGCTACTTTGGACTGAGTAGGCTATTCAGGAGTAAAGTCCTGTCTAGATGTACGAAAACCACACTCTATAAGTCACTCATCATGCCT